TCTAATTATTTATTAAATCTCAAAACCCTCGTGTACAGTATATTTTATACCTTCTATATTACTTTAAGTTTACATTATATTATATTATTATAAATAATAACTGTACAATAGCTGAATGTGAATATACATAATCAATATTCGATATTGTTTGTCGTATTATACATATCATATATTCATCATTTATAATATACATCTCAGTTTTATCGTGTATATGATAGGAAAAGGAAAGGATTTCCTTTATTTTACTCATGGTCATATAATATGAATATTTATATAGTACACACGTTATGTATTGATATACATATGAATGGTTGTGCGTTTAGTGAGTCACGACCAATAAGTGGAGGTTATCGATTATTAATATACTTTAATAGTTACTAGTTATATAGTGTCTATCTATATATGATTATTAAGTTTATTATACACATATATATTAGAACTAGTCAATAGTTACATCGTAAATAACTGTATAATATTATATTTATATATTTTAGTAAATATTTTATATTATGTATTCAATATAATATTACTTTATAACAATTGCTTAAAACAATATTTATTGCTAATTGTCAAAAAATATACCTGCATTGAAAATAAAAATGTAACCCAGTGTAGTGTCCTATATATATATATTCGAAGGTACACATGGTTTATAACTTAACTTTATCAATACTCGATAAGCATAGGTAATATACACGTATACTTGTTGTGAAATTACATTTATGATTTATAATTTTAATATTATTAGCTATTTCGTGATGGACGATATTAGAACTAGAGTATAAACTTTGAATCGGTAACAATAAATAGAAAAATAGAGACAGCGCGTTCCATTTTTAAAGCTTATTCAAAAAAATATTTTATTTTTATTTTTTATAGAATAGTTTTAAATGTATTCCTTTAAAATTAATTATCATCAAAGATTTTTTTTGAATAAAAATATTGAAAGTGTCGATTACATGCATGTTAAACAAGTAAACGAGATATTTAGGGAATATAGGTAATTCTTTGGAGCAAGTTTAAGTACGTTATGTAGGTATTATAATTATTGTAAACTCAAAAATAATCAACTTTCGGACTCATAATCTGTAAAAAATATGAATGAGAATCATCATGCATATGTAATAATTACTATTTATTGATGAAATTTAGAATTGTAAACTAAGTATAGAAAATAAATGCTATAAATACCTGCAACGGCAACGTTTTATGTCACGCATTCCCGCCTAATTGAAGTAAATTAATTAGTAAGCGAATGTCAAGATTAAAATATTGAAATAAAAAACTTATTTATTTTAATAGGTTACTCACATACCTATATTTGTTAATCATGTTATCAATGGTTAAGTCATAGCATTGTAGCAACATGTCCTATATATAAGTATACAGTGCTGTAGCCAAAATTTTTGAATGGGGGGAATTAAGGTTTAGGTATATATCAGATATCAGGGATGGACAACTCAAAATTATTAGATGTCCACTTTTTAGAAAACTGAAATCTAGTGGGCTAGAACATATAAAGCAAAAAAAAAGGTCATTCAAAATATGCATTTTAATTAGAATTATTTTGTTTATAATGTAAAAGTATTTGAACGTTATAACCATAGACTTATTGTTCTTATCAAATAATTAAAAATATTAAAATAATTATATAAAAATATATGGGAGGGGAGGGTTACAACACCCAAAATCCCCCTGGCTACGCCACTGTAAATATGTTTATATATTTAAATTATAAATGAGTAAAACTCGCTATACATAATAGCTATCAACTAAGTTATATGCTCAACGATCTATACCTACATAAACCTATATTAACTATGTTTATAGTATATACAATCCTTTATGCTATAAATATCGTTATTGTATTTGTATATTGTAATATATTATATTTACGGGAACGGATACACCATTTACACTATATAATAATATTATATACACACGTCACACACACACACATATAGTGTATACAATAAACGACGTTACTGTTCAAAATTATATGACAACCCTGAAATAAAGAAACATCTGCAGACAAGGGATGTTGGATTTGGCGGGAAACCGAAACTGGTGATGTATACTGTATACACAATACAACACGTATGTTTCTCGTTTATATTGCCCACGTGTGTGGTCATATAAATTTATCTATAACGTACGCATAACATACTACAACACCGTGGAGTGAAACTCTAATTTGTATATTATAATTTAAAACCATTGATATTACATTAACTTTAATTGTTTATTATAAAATTTGTAATATAATTAAATATAAATAATAACTATTTTATGTTTTCAACGATAGGTATAACCGTAAAGGTATCTAGATACTAATTCTATTTTGAAACTTACTAGTACTTATTTAACTTAGTCGTAAATGAACTTATAAACCTAAGTAATAATAGTGTAAAATCTTTGATAATTTATCTAATTTTTTAATATAAGCGCCTATAATTATATACCTAATTATAACTTATAAATTTTTATTATCAGGTTGAGTTTATGAATTATTATAAACATATTATAATCTTTGTATTATATGAAATTTATATCTACTTATTAAAATATAGCGGCGAAGACTTTTTATCATTATATTATGTGCATTGAACACAACGACAACATTAATTTGAAAATATTAAATCTAATAAATGTTTGAATTACTAACCGATTACAGTTAATCCATGATTTTCACCTAATATGGAAAGGAACACGAGAAAGTAACTATTAATACTTATATTCCAGACTACATAATAATATACTCAAATACTCTTTTATATTATAAAAATTAATTTTTGCACGAGAAAAATCAATTTTACCAACTATATACAAAATAGTTTTTTAAAAGCCAGCGCTTACCTTCGGACTTCAGTAGTCAAGTAAAATTCCACATAGTTTTACAAAAAGTTTTAAAAAACTTGTAAATTGCAGCACTACAAAAAAAAAAAATCTTCACCCTGCGGCCTACACCAAAAAAAAAAAAAAACAAAAACAATAAAAATAATTAATTTCAACCATTTGTCGACTCGTAATCGCAGTTAACGCAAAAAATGAACATTAATGGTTTTTGACAAAAATTTTTCATTTTCACAAACCACGGACAATACATTATAATTATACTAGCAACTAGTTGCAAGTCGTAGTAATTGAGCTTTGCGTCGATAACACGCTCAATTGACAGCCTTTCGCGCATATAATTTGCATTTATTTTTTGGTTGTACCAACTAATGTTTGTTATACAGAAGTTTCTATGCATTAAACAGCTGATAAATACATGTTAATACATTATTATATAATAGTTTATATCATTGGGTTTATATTTTAAATAAAACTACATCTACAGTCCTACAGAAGTATAATATATTATAGACATATTATAGTCATCATTCATCGAGCAATAAAATTACAATAATAGGTACACTAATAGCTATTGTATCTCTATAAAACGAATTCCTTAGCCTTAATATAGCCTAGTAAATAACTAAATATTTACTAATTTGTATTATTTTGGACATTACAATTATTTTAGATTATAAAGACTTATTAAAACATAAGCTCAAAAAATAACTATTATACCTTTTATTATTTTTTTTGAATTATTTTTTTTAACGATTAACTTTTAAAGTTTTTTTTATCTTAAAAATTGACTGATTGAAAGTGAGTTGAGTTACAATTTATGAACTTCATATAGATATATACTTAAAAATATTTTTTACAATCTATTTATGATTTTACAGTTAAAGATGATTTAATATAATTTGTTTTAAAACATATTGGTATCTAATATCTGTTAAATTATAAATATTACATATATTATAATTTATAATGGTTATTTTTATTACGGTTAGGATTTCTGAAAAACTTCTATTAAATATGTTTTATAACTCGTTTGAGACAGATATTTCTTTTTTGTTTACGATATCAAGCTTTAGCAAAAAAACAGACATGGTAATGTCATAAAAATACAGTAAGAAGTTATGCTGAACGGTATATCCTAGTTGACCAGATTAATTGAATTTCAAAAAAAAAATGTATTTAATAAATTAAATTACGTTAATATTAAGTCTTTTATATACAGTAAAAAAATCCTGAATCAAATTCAAGGTCATGCATTAGAAATATTTCGTGTTACCTTTATGTTTGAACACTATTTTACTGAAAATCATTTAATAATGCAATACACATAATGTATATTAAATAATTATGTAGTTTTATTTAGGACACCCGTAGTTGGTTAGCTTGTTGTAAATATATAGAATATAGTTTCCTGTTAGCTGTTGGTAAATATTATCCTATTGTAAAATAAAATGAATAACAAAATAAATGGTTACATGTAAATTTAAGTGTACCTGTAAGCTTATACCTATATAGGTGTATAAAATATGTCTTATAAGTTGTTATGAAGCACTTTTAGTATTGTCATATTAGTGAGTGTATTGGTGTGACTTGACATATTTGTTAATACTTATTACTTCATTGGTAAGAAAATGAGATTGATTGTTCACGGTGTAAAGCATTTTTCTGCTTTGAGTATAACAAATTAACACTAACGAATGCCACTAAATGCCATTGAATATTGCATGAACTACATTTAAATGAATTTACTTTTTTAAACAGTTTAGATAGATAAGTGAAAATGTATGTAGTGTGAATGAACAACTTCCTATCGTTTAAAATTTAAATGCATTAAATTTATTCAATTCATAAATTGTTTTTAAAAAGTTCGTTTGATTTGAATTATTTTTTACGAAATACATTATACTATTTTACGGTCAAAACTTAAAATAAAAGTTATTATATTCTATTCAACACGGTGAAAAATAGTACGAACTTATATTGAATCGAATTATAATTAATAATCAATACAGTTTCATCATATTATTTATTAATAATTAATTTAATTCAGTAATAAAAATAAATAAATTATTTGTATTAATTGGCTAACTTAATAAAATTTAAACATGTATATAATTAGAATTAAATAATACATATTACATTTAAATACAATAATCATAACAATAATTTTAACCTGTATAAAATATAAATATATACCAATGAATATTAGAGACCTTTATTGTAATATCCAATTTTTGAGTTGAACTTTTCTGCTGATTTCTGTAACATTAAGATAAATATAAAATATAAAATAAATAATATACGAATTATGAGTGATTAACATCAATTAATAAAATAATTATATACATATATGTATTTCAATCTTAACAAATTAACATTATGAAATATTATAAAAAAAATATATCGGTATGCTTTATGAAGTATGATATACATATTGTTCGATATTTCATCAAACTATTTATCTATAATTATTGTATACATTGAAATTAGTTTAGAAAAACAGGAAATTATTTTAATATATTATTAATATTCTTCCAAAGGTGAATAATTTTATTGCGTAAACATTAATGTTTTAGCTAAATTATTATTTACTAACAACTTATCTATAGCAATAGTAACTACATGTATTATCGAGTATTTTGTATCAATTTTGAATTTACATTAAATATTTTGAAAATTTCATTGTGAATAAATATAATATGATAATTTTTTAGTAATGGAATTCTGCTAGAATGTTAAAGTGTTTACTGTAGTTAATATGTTTTAAATTACAGCAAAATAATTAAAGAATCGTTATTTTTTATTTTAAAAATTCGATTAACAATAGAAATTCTATTATACATTTTTGGAGAAAATGAATAATCTACTCTAATTTATTTTTGAATTATAATAAAATGACAAAATTCATTTTTTCAAAAACTGATATAATGTAAATATTCCTTAGTTAGCTTATTTTTCAGTTAATTCCAATTACCTTGAAAAGCATTGGGAATTTTCTACCTAAACCACCCTCCATGCCAAATACCAATTAAATAATTAAATACAATTTGTTAACAGAAACTACCTTTAAAGTTAAAGATTGAAGCATTTCTTCTATTCCAAAAACAAATACAAAAAAAAATATATAAAAAAAAAAATTATTTTAAAACCTTTGCTCCACGTTAAGAATTTAAAATATATAACATATTTATATATACCTAAACATTATTTATACGATAATTAAATATTATATCATAGTAAATATTTCTAATCTTGGCATTAATTTAATTAAATAATTGTAAAATATACATATGTAGAAAGGCATAAGTAGATGTTTTCATGTATAATGAACATTTTAATTGATTATACCTGTAATTCAGGTTCAAGTTTGTCAATTGATATTGGTGATACTTGTGGATATAATGCACAGCACATCGGTGTTGCAAAAGTCAAAAAGATTCCACATAACGCAATTTGTAAGGGTGCTGGAGCCCATTTCATATTTCTTAACAGCCCTTTCTGTTCTATTGCTTCCATTATTACTGGTGATATTACTAAAAATAAAACAATGTTTGTAGGCGTATACACTTAAATGTATAATATTTAAAGTCAATTGATGAATATATCATTTATATATATACAATATATAATTTATAATAATTATGAAAAATACAAAATTGTTTAGTTCTTACCCATTCCTGGAGCGGACATTAAAACGCGACTCAACACCACAGCTGTAATACCTTGCCTAGCCGCTAATTTGGATTCGCCTAGAAGATTTTTATTTTCATCGTACACTTCAATTCCATTATCCAGCTCTCTAAATTAAAGAGTTAGATGTGTTTTTAATATAATTAAAAAGCAATTAATAGTTTCTTATGTACTTAATTCTCATAAGAGGTATGTTTATAAAATTGGCTGCAGCAACAGCTGCAAATGGTACAAAACGGCCAGCAACAGTTGGTAATCTCTAAATGAATGAAAATACAGGCTTATTAATTATTACAATTATTTCATATCATGACTGTATTATTTAAATTTGTAATACATTAAAAAGATATCCATTTATGTTGGTTCCTATGTGATATTTTAAAATACTACGACTACTCATTACATGAGAATACCTTTATCTATAAAAATATATACAGGCAATAGTGCATAAAACATTTCTTAGTTTCAACCATATTATAAAACACTTAATTAAAGGAAATTTTAATAGTTACTATTCCTTTTAGTTTTTAACAAAAATAAAATGAAATAATGACAATGAAATTATATTTTATCTATATAATATCTATCTTATAAAATTTCGAAATCAAGAATCTTTTATCTTTATATTATTTTTTTTATACCTATTGATTTAATATTAATACAATAATAAACCTACTAAAAATACTTTATTTATTTGATTCATGTTGGATGAAATATTAAAATTATAAATTCACTATAATAATCATAATATTATAATTCAATATTAGAATGCTTATAAAGATAAAAATATACAATTTTATAATACAATCAATATTATTTATTTTATGTTTTCGTACATTTATAGTTAAAAAAATGTTAAAAATTTAAAAAAAATAAGCAATCTTCCAAAAAAGCTTATATTTTTGAATTATACAACTTTTTATAAAATTATTACTTACTTTAACCAATTTGTTTAAACCGAGTGCTGTAACTAAAGCGCCACTTGTAGCTAATACATAAGACTTAGCTACTTGACTTTAAATACAAAATAATGTATAATTAGAGAAACATAAAATACTTGGTGTTATTAAAAGTTTAAAAATAATAAAATAAATCTTTATACTCAAGAGGCATAGGTGCGGTACCACTCCGATTGGTGTAGTTAACTAAAGCATTAAACGATTGATTGAACCATTGCCAAAAAATAACTGCTGGTGTGGTTCTGTTTAAAAAAATATATATAAATAAGTAAAAAATCATTTACACATAAATAATTGGAAATTTAAGATTTTAGATTTTAAAAACTGACTAAATTTTAATTGGATCTGAAAATAAATTTTATATTTTGATGCTGTAAAAGAAATATTTGGGCATCTTTATGGACATTTAATAATTAAGTATCAATAAGATTTTTAAAACAATACCGATTAATAATAAATATTTTATAGAAAGTAGTGTTTTAATGTTTACATTTTTTTTTAGTAGTCTATTTTTAATTTAAATATTAAAATATTTAAAATATTTTACAATATTAACTACGACCTACGTTGTATATAATTTTAAATACTTTAATTTCATATTAAAAATTTAATGAAATATTATTATTAACTACTACTAGAATTAAGATAATTTTTACTTATTCAGATAAATATAAAATGTACTCACTTGTAAAATGTGACCATACAACCAGTTATTAGCATATTCATAGGCACTTGAGCTGACATCCTCCCAAAAATAATCATTTTCTCTCCTGTCTCAGGATGATATGCTGAGTCAACTACATCCTTAGCTTTGTAAATGTCTTCTAATGTTAAGCCATCGGGTGTACTATCACCTTTTCTAAATAAATAACGTTTTAACTTCCAGTTTTTTTTTAACGCTTATTTGTAAAGTTTATACTTTATAAAGTATTATATTTTTAGGATAATTACTTATAATTGTTGACGATCTCTTTACACCTCTCTAATTCAAAATTCGACTTAAAAATATTTAATGGATTGGTAGTGGTAAAAAAGTACTTAACTCGGCCCCAATATTGAGTTTGATCCCAACGGGGTACGTCCAAATTTACTCGTTCAGTCATATTTAGTGTATTAACAGAGTTATAATATAACCCAAGTAAAGTAATATTCAAATAACAAATCGTACAGTCTACAAAAATTTAACACTGATTAAATATAACATATTATGTGTATAACTAGTTTAAGTGGGAAGTATAATTAAATATTATCTATAAACTTTATAGATAATAGTATAAAGTTTATACTATTGTAACTGAGAAGGTCAACAGATCGTTAAAAATTTATTTATTATCGCGTTTTGATAACAATATATAATGTTATTTAGCATCTACTCATTAAATCTATCGTGCACAATACCGAAAACTTGTACAGTATCATCATAAAATAAATATAAAGTAACAACTTCCTTTACAAATATCTAATTAGTAACTAATTAGGTAAATGTAAAAATGTGTACATATAACTTAAAGTTAAATTATTGTATCTAAGTAAAATATTAAGTCAATACAACAAACGTAAATAATTTCCACTATAATAAACAAATTGCAACAATTTTATTATGGTATCTAAAATGCAAGTAAATATAACATCAAGAAAATCGATTTGACTATTCAAATAATGAATATATTTAGTTAATTTCTAGTTATAATTAACAGGCAATACCACCAATTTCTATTTGTAAGAGTTTCAAAACTCGGAAGTATCTTAAAATACAATATTCCGATAAAAGAATCACTAGATAATTTATTTAGTTTGTTAATTAATTTGTTAATAGAAAAATAACAAGTTAGTGAAAACGCCTTAAAAATAATTATATAAGCAAATAAAACTACACATATTTATCATTATCGATTATAATAATTATGATTTAGATACTATCTAATATTTTAAAATAAGATACACATATAAAACAATTATTTTTTCATGATTTTTAGCTTGATATCATTATTTTAAATTATTTCATACATTTCGTAGGTGTTATTATAGAGTATGTTTTTATTTTATTTTAAAACTATGTAGACACTAAATGTATTGTTTTTTGTAGATTCGAATTTGTAACATATGATTTATATATAATATACACAATATGATCAGGAAAGTTGAATTAATACTGTACTAGGCGATTTTTTTATTATAAATCATTCATTATTTCAAAAACGTCAATAGTTTTTGTATAGCGACTAGACAATATTTTTTCAACTTAACAGTTAGTACGATTTCAAAAAGTTATAACCAGCATTAGTGCAAAACGCACTAAATTTGTGATAGTTTTTGAATTTTTCAATAATTTCCGGTAAAAATTTAAAAATACAATAAAAACGCGTAACCTACCAATTTTAACAAATGTTTTATATTACTAGCATTTATAAAAACTATTAAAATTATTGGTACATTATTATTATTATTTTTTTTTTTTTATATAGATTTCGAGTAACTTCGTCATTGGATATATTAGATTTGTATTCAATAACAATTAATGATTGTTAACGAAAAACGATTCTGAGCGGTAACGGTCTGTCAATCTATATTTATTTTTCAATGATTTATTATACTTTCTATTTTTCTATTAGTAATACGAAAGATGGCACAAATTTTTGTCCAAAAATATTACATACCCCAGTCCGGATTGACGTACCATACAAACGTATAATAGTAATATTCTAATCATCTGCAACAGTAGAATAATTGAAATATTGATAATAAATAAAATAAAGTTATACAAAATATAATTTAAATGAAATTAACACATAATTATTTATTCGATATGGACATATATACAATGAATATCTTATACGAAATACCATACAAGTACTATTTAATAGTTTGAAAAGGTTAGTGTTACTTATACATTATTTAAAACTAATCCAAATTTTAAAATATCATAGTGTGAAGTGAAGTTTATAATAAAATATATTTAACGAAAATATCTGTCTATTAAATTTGCTGTAGCTGGCATAGTTAATTATGACTTTAAATTATATCAAAATAACTTAAGTATAAAATTGTTATTTTTCGTTCAAATAGATATCCTATTTCGTCAAAATTTAAACTTTATTTATTTATACCAAAATCGTGTGTAATTTTTAAGTATTTAATAAAATCAGTGATTAATATTTTCTTAGATTTTCAAATCTTGTAATTAAAATTAAAATATTGCAAATTTTTATAATAACTATGAGGTATTCATTTTCGATTTTAAATTTAAATTTATGAGAAAAACAGTTATTTATATATTTTTAAGACTAAACCCTTTTATAAATAATCAATTTAAATATAATACAATAAAATATCCTCGTATAAACCGTGCTTCTTCACTTATTTTTCATGTGCAATTATTTATCATTGAATTTAATTTTTAAACATTCATACCATTATTCTACTCAATGATAAGATAAATTCTAGTCCTATTAAATTAAAGAGCGATTTTCTTGATTATTTTTAAAATTAGTTATAGGAAATAGGTGATTTCTAGATTGATGACTGATAAAAAAACACACATCATTGTAAAATTAATATATTGATCACTTCGATTAGAATCTAAAATGAAAACCTAGGTAAAAAATCAGTTAGTTATTTATTAGATTCTAATTATTTCAAATTATATTAAAACATTATAATATAACGATATATATTTATAGGTACGTTTTGAAATAATTAAATCATAAGTATTTTATTGAGGAACAAACTAATTATTGAAATAAAGTGATTTATTTTTATTTTAAGCTTTTAATCGTCAAGTCAGTATTATATTTACCTATTTAAATTATTGTTTTAACGACTTCGGTTATTAATAAACTATGAACAAAGAAAAAATAAAATGTACGGATAGGTGGGTTACCTATTTTTTCTATTTATTGGAAATGGAGGGTATGAAAATATTGTCAATATTATACCTAATATAATTTTATAAATTTAAATTTTTAAACAAGTTATAGACTGGTTACCGGCTACGTTTTACCTTATAATCTATCCCAATATCCACTTAATAAGTAAATACTTATTTTAATTAAAAAATACAAAAGATAAATTTAAAATATTCAAATTCAGGAATAGCTGAGATGATTTTAAAATTTTTTTTGTCGTTTATCCAAATTTAATCACTTAATACAAAACTACGTATTACGAAAATACGAAATGTAGATAAACAAATGCATAACTGTCTAACGAGAAGATAGGTATTACTGTATTAGGTAACAACTAAAATAATAAAATATTGTACAACAGTATAACGGTCAGGACTAAAGTGTTAATAATAAATCATATTATGGCATATCAACGGTATTGTTCATATAAAGTAAATTTAGATAAATGCAATAAATAATTGAAATAAAAACCCGTCTAGTGGGAAAACAGTTTAAATATATAACTTATCCCACAATTTATTAAATAGATCCAATGGCGTATTTAGGTTTTTTTCATGGGGGGATATGACTTTATAAATGAAGATACCAATTACCAATGAAAATATTGTACAATATATTATAATATTTTAATTCTTACAAATTTAATCAATTATTGATAAAAAAAAAATAATAATAATAATTTTTTAAACAATAAGATAACTATAATTATTTGTGTGTATACAGCCTATGGGAGGGGGATTTATCTCCTTGATCCCCCCCCCCGTAAATACGCCACTGAATAGATCTAATCTAACACAACAATCTTGAATTTAAGAAATAGGTCTATTACATTCTCTGATGTGTTGTACCTATAGGTATTTTTGTATCATTCAGCTGATTTAAATATGTTGTACTTAACTTGATTAATTTATACTTACTTCCCTAATTATTTTTTTGTTGTTCATTATTATCTAATAGATACATATTTGGTTATTTACAACTATTATTTAAAAAAACCTAGATTATTGTTTAAAAATGATGACATTTTTACTAAAAATACGTGAACATGTGGAATATTACAATTTAACTTTCAGTTTTTCGGATTTATCGCAGATAGTAGTTTATTGGTAGATCACACATTGGAGTCATTAGACCGGTCCCACAGAATATAACATATTACAAGAAAAATATTTTATTCTAATTTTAGAAATGTAAGTACTTACTTACCCAATAAATTTGAGTTAGGAAAACATTTTCGAATGTAGGATATTAAAACACATTCATTTAAATTGTAAAATATAATATATTTCTAATTAGTATTAAAATTAGATCATAACTCATAATTCATAAGCAATAAATAATATCTATCTTAATTCTTATTATTCTTATTTAACTACATAAAACATTCTAAGCTATTAAAGGTAGATATCAACCCTTAGAAAAATACATTTATTTTATTGATTGTTGTTAATTATTAATTTAATCTTAGGCGATAATTAATAAAAAATTATAATTATTCGTTTTAGTATTCTGCAATTTTGCATTATAGGTACTATTGAAATTAAAAGGTGTACATTTTTTAGCATAGACGGTTTTATAGTTAAATATTTAAATTTTGAGTTATTAAATTAATAATAATGCAGACTATTAATAAATTGTTTACGTATTTTAAACAATTTGTATCCTGTGACAATAATTTCATTGATATTTAATAGTTTATAGTTACCATATTTTATAAAATTAATATATATAAATAATACATACCTAGTAGTAATTCAGTCACGATTTAAGATAATTTTAGAATATTACATTATATTATTTAATATTATAATTGTAATTTTTTATTATATTTTTCTGTACTTCTGTACATCGTGTGTTCGATGAATTTGTTCATACCATTTAAAATATATTTTTTAAATATCAATAAAAATAGCAGACAAACAGTTCTCAAGTTGGCCATATTGTAGGTTATCAATGTGTTACCTAATGAAATGTATACAACAAATTCCAATATTACAAATACTGAATATTGTATTACTGTCAAAATACCACAGATAATATTAAAATTACAATGCAAATACAATGTTTTTAATCTTCTATAATTGTATAATTCTATCTTAGTATAGATTAAATTAATCTGTATTTTTTGTAGTTTTTAAAAACTGTCATATATGATAATTTTTTCATCTACGTCGATGATATCTTTCATACTAAATGACTGACATTTTTAAAGGTAAAAAATGGGCGTTTTTATTTTATCTCCTATTTAATATTATATTTATATTTTTATACATTTTATTTATTAGATTTTAATACATTCAATTTTAGTTGAACATTGTTTAATATCAGAGCTTAAAATAAAATTTATATTTATTATATATATATATATTATAATAGATAGGTAGTATGTTTAAAAGTATTTTGTCAATCTAAAGAGCACATACTTCAAATTGAAGCGATTATTTCAGAAATACGTCACATACGCCAAAATGATGAAAAATTTGGTTCAGATTATTGTTTTATTAAATAAAACACTTTGTTTAGTGCAAAAACCCGTTAAGTATTGAAACTTTATGGCTGTTTAATTTTGGTCAAATAATGTGTTTAGTTCAGAAACCCATTAATAAATGACATTTGACGGCTTTCTGCGGCAAACTAAGAATTTTAAAATTTGTATTTAACAGGTTTCTGAAATAATCGCTTCAATTAATAAAAAAAATCACGTATTTACCTACTTTTAAAGTTCTAACTTTTGTGTTTTAAAAAAAAATTTTTTTACAGCTAGGTAATCTTGTCTTACTTTGTTGATCATTTTTCTGAATAATGATAATTATCTTAAGATAAACTTTGTGTATTTTCTAAAAATCTTGGAGCACTGTAAAATAATAATTTAGATTTTATATAGTTTTTTTTTTATTATAAATGTTAAATTTATATCTTCAAAAAATATAAAATTTACATAAATTAAACTAGAATTAAAATATAAAATAAATATTTAATTAATCATTAGTTATAATCAAACATCAAACATATAAAAATATATTTATATTTCTCATAACTTTGAGTCAACCATAATTTGAGTTTGCTATGACATACTGATTGAAAATTATTGTTGTAGATACTAAAAGGGTTGTGTATGTCTTAAATTATAAATTTGACCAAATTTTCTATGCATTGCTTAATCAACCAAGTGCTAACTACTTCATAAATTTTTTTTAAATTAACATGAGATACCTGTTCCTTGTTAGATTTTGTATTGCATTAGATATATATTTATATTAGAATAGCAGTTTCTTATTAACTAAAAAAGTGTCAAAAAATAATTATATTCTTTGTTTTTAGATTTGAGTGATATTTGGGATAGGCTGTTTAGCCACCGTCCATTCTTACAAGGAGAAATAAAGTATTTTTTATCAGAATTTGATGTAAGATTGATTCATGTGTAGGTAGATTATACGATAATAATAATTTTTAACTAAAATCAATTCTAGAAAAAATCATATAGAGCTGATGAAGAAAATTTAAACAAAATCGGTGAACTCATAAGTGATATAAAAGATAAAAAAATTGAAAGATTTTTGCAATCAAGCGGTGAAAATTTATATTCATTAAATTCTACCATCAGTAAAGCTTTGAATTTGAGTCAAGAAATTTTGGATCAAGAAAATAATATAATTTCAGTAAATTAGTATAACAATAGTTGTATGTATAAAAATATATTTAAAATGTTTGGTTTGATTATTTTTAGGAAGAAGACTTGAAAACTAAAGAAGAATTGCATGAAAGACGTCAAAAAGAATTGGAAACATTTAAGTCTGATCTGAAAACTAGATATGAAAGTATAGATAAAGATATTGAAGATAAGGTAGAAGCAATTAAAATACATTTTGAAGAAGATATAAATAAACTTATTGCTGATAATCAGTAAAAAAAAAAATGGATTATAAAATAAAAATAAAAACTGATCCCCAGTTTCTGGATCTGTTTAAAAAAATTGAGAAGTCTAAAGTTGATATTCCCACTCATGTCAGTGAATGTTTTTCTGTTAAAATGTTAGACCTAGAAGCCTTTAAGTGGTTTAGTGAGAATTTGAAAAAAATTGATGGTCCACCTTTACATACACTAATCACTAAAGAAAGTATAGTTTTACCTAGTCCACCTATTGTTGAGTCCAGTTCAGAGTACAAAGAAAAAATGAGAAAATTAGAGCAACGTTTAAAGAATAAAGAATATGATGCTATGACAAAAAACGTAGATTTTCGAAGAGTTAGACTACCCGAAGATACAATTTCTTATCAAAGTGAGACTAAATTTAATATAATGAATTTAAACTAAGATTTTTTCTCTTTCGTGTTCCTTCTAAAAATTAATTAATTTACAATGCCTCAAAAACCTGTAAAAAATTGATTTTTACCCAGTTGAACACATTAAAAAATACATAAATATTTAATTGACCTATAAAAAAGTTCATCTAGTTATTTATGTTGGACACAAATTACAATATTTAAATGTACATACATATAATTTGAGAAATTGTACTTAATGATTTTAGCCACATTTTTAAATTTATAATTTGTGTATTGTGTCTCTTGAGAGTGTGTGAATTTTGGTCAAATATTGTATATCGATCATTGTTTATTTATGGATATTTACTAGTTTTATTATATTCAATGACGTGACAGTCATTAACGAGTTGGTTTACTAGTAAGTTATTTTATATTATAGTAATGACATAATCTAAATTTGATACATAAAATAAAATAATTTTTTTTAAAAATCAAAAAATGTATTTTTACAATCCAGTTACATCTAATGTTCATTATTTGTTCACTCTATCCTATAATATTGCAAAAAAGATAACTAATACTTTAAAAATGTTTAAAATCTTTTCTGAGCATCAAGTTTAAGTATACTTGTTATAAGAAAAAATCAATAGCTTAATAAAATTGTAATGCTGATCAAATTTTAGTACATTTAACTATAAGAGATTTATGAATGCATGAATTTATCAATTGATGCCATTTAGAATATTCAACTAAAAACATTTTTTAAATTGTTCCACTAAAATAAATTTTAAAAAAGCAAGGAGCATGAAAGGGACTGATCAAAACCATGTATTATGCCAATTTTACTTTTTAAATGCTGACTCTAAAGCATTCAATTATTAAAAATTAATCGTTTTTATGTTTTCAGTTAAACAAATCAATAGACAATTGATAGCAGTTCTCCAATTTGTGATTTCAACTGCTGCTGGTTTTTTATTTGGATTTTTAGGTATTGAGTTGATGCTAAGTACAACCTTTGATTTGGGTTTTAAATTGTTATTGGGAATCATATGTGCTCTCATTATAGCATTAGCTGAAATTTACTTTTTGGCCAAAAAATTATCTGAAGACTATGAACCATTTGATACAAGTGGCAAAGTTCATCAAGATTAATTATTGTAATTAATTTTTGTATAAATATTTCTTATTTTCCTCAAATTACTGAAATATTCAAAAATATATTTAAAATTATATAATAAAAATAGTTTATATTTTTACCAATTTATTTATGTATACAAATTAATAAAACATTACTTTACTAAGAAAAATATTTATTGATTTTAAATGTTGAAGATTATTTAAATACTGCTTTAAACATATTTTTCATGGATATAGTTATGAAGTTTGCATATTTAATCAAGGAAAGTTATCATATTGCGTATAATATCTTTAAATGTTATAAGTTTTGTATTAAAGTGGTTTAAATTTATTAATAATGGATTGATTTAAATTAATATTATACATTACATTAATTTCTATCTTAAAATTGTATTATCTTGTTTTCAAATTCATTTTTTTAGTGTAATGTTTTGTTTATTACAAAACAATATTCCAGTTATAAAATAAATTTTATTTTACTCGTTAAATAACTATCATTCTCAAGTTTCAATTAAATAAAAAGTTGATTTATATCTTAATTATAATTTATAAAATAATATTAATTCTTATTAAAATATTTAATTATCTATATTAAAACCATAATAACTATAAAACTTATACATTCTCTGTTTTACTCAAAACTCTGATACTGTAGTCAGTAGACATGATTTGTTTTCTGAACAGTGTAATGGTAAAAGAGTGGTATTAAAAATATTTCAAAAAAATTAATATTTATAATAATTATAAATTTTTTATTCTGTTCAATAGTTGCAAGGTGTCTTGGAGCTTTTTCATAAAATCATTACTTTTTCTTTTTCTAAGATGTTTTCACATTTAACAATAGTCTAGTCCATTAAAATCTTCCTCAGTCATTGTTGAATCTTGATAAGTCTTTAATCTTTTAGAGTTTAAAATGTATACTTTGGCATAGCTAAAGTTATTAAGAATTGTAAAAGTAATTTTTACTTGGTAAAATATTTGTATAATACTTCTATATTTCTGTAACTGCTGAGTTTTGGGAATCTGTTATATGTGAGTAATTCATTGAAAGTTTTCAGAATCCTTTAAATTAAAATTTAACTGTTAGGGAGCTTCAAGAAAGATAGTTCAAAGAATAAGTTCTATAGCTAATATCTTTTAATATTAGACTATTACAATACAATATTAATTATATTATAAAAGGTTTTTAACTTTTTAAGTATTAAAGTCATCTAGAGTTCTTAGAGTATGGGTTGCAATATGCTAAGAATTATTGAACCTAACGTGTTTCATGTATAATATGTATAATAAGCATTATTCTTATAATTCCTTACTATTTATGTTCATAGTTGTAATGGTATACATGGACGTGATTTGTTACACATCTATTGCTGAATCAAGCTTTTATTTTTTTTTTATAGGTACTATTCATTTTCCATTGGTTTGTCACACAATAAATTAAGTTTTAAAATTTAAGAAAGTATTTACAGGTTAGGTAAAAAGAATAAATATTCTTCATAGTCACTTTTAGTTGTATTAGAACAAATTAGTTTGTCTTCTACAAGTTTGAGATATTTAACTTCAACATTAACTTTTGAAGAAAATAAGGTAACTTCTAGAATATTTATAATAATATAATTTAAAATTTTGTAATAAAGTTACCTTAGCACTACATAATTTCTATAAAAATATAAAGTAAGAACCAGGGCAATACATATTTTTATATTAAGTAAATGAATCAAGTCGTAAAATTTTTATTGAAAATTCACTATTCATAAATATTTTATTTCAATAGAATATTTTAAAACTTGTAGGTAACAAATCATTAACCTAATAGTATAATGAAGACTATATTAATTTATTAACAACTTTTTGAATAATACAATATTATCTTTTACTAAGTTCGTAGGATTAACAATTCTGTCTTTATTTTTCCATTTTGGAGTCATTTGATCCCAATTTCTATTATCAATATTTAACTTATTTAATAAATGATCAGCTAGTACAGGTATAATAGGCTGTAAAGCTAACCCAGAAATCCTTAAAGTCTCCATAGTTACATGTAATATACATTTCAATTTATCAACATCTTGTTTAGCTAATTCCCATGGTTTATTATACTCGAAAAATCGATTGCAACACTTTAATGTGGCTATTATTTCATCAATACCTTTGTAAAAATTCAATTCCTCATAATGACTTCCAACAGTATCTGCAAGACTCTCTAGTTTGTTATTTAATTCAATGAAATATGAATCAGTAAATAGTCTTTCAAATTGAATTAAATCTAATACTGGGTAACTGAGATTTGGATTAATGGCTTTTCCACAGCAACGGTTCAATAGATTTCCCAATGTGTCTGCTAATTCAGCATTTAATATTCTCCTAATTTTCAGATCACTGTAGTTACCATCACTGTGAGCTGTACCTTCTCTAAGCAAAAAATATCTTAAACCAGATTCAGTATACTGGCAACCAGCATTTATTGGATCTACTACATTTCCTTTGGTTTTAGACATTTTTTCATCATTAACTTTCCAATGAGAATGTACAAAAATTTGTTCTGGTAATTTTAAACCTGCAGCTATTAAGAATATAGGCCACAATATTCCATGAAATTTCAAAATATCTTTGCCACATACTTGGACATTTGGAGGCCAAATTTTGCTGTTTGGATAACCAGAAACAGTTAAATAATTAACAAGAGCATCCAGCCATACATATATAGTCTGTGTATCATCTCTTGGTACAGGAATACCCCAACTGACCCGACTTTGTGGTCTAGACAATGATATATCATATAAATCATTTACTTCTCTATTTAGTATTTCATGGAATATCTTTGGTTTAATTCTATCAGGTTTACTCAACCAATATTGAAGATCATGTTTGAAAGGACGTAGATCAAATTTATAATTGTCTTCTTCAGCCCACTCAACTGGCCGGCCTGATTCTTTACTAACGCGTATATTGTTAACTAATTCTATTTGATCTTGTGACAAAAATGTTTCATCAGCTGTACAATACCAACCAGAATATTTTCCTTTTTTAATATGTGGTTCTAATTTACTCCAAAAATAATTAACACATTTTTTATGGCTTTCTGCTGTTGTTCGAATGAAAGAAGTGTGACTAATATCAAATTTATTAAATGTAGTTTCGTAACTATTTGAAATTTTTGTACAATAGTTTTCCACAGATAATTTACAATTTTCAGCAGCCTTTTGTACTTTCAATCCATGTTCATCTGTACCAGTACTAAAAATAATATTTAAACTTGGGTTAAGTAATTTTTGAAATCTTGCAGAAGCATCAGCTATTAAAGCACTGTAAAGGTGACCAATATGTGGATCTAAAATAAAAAATACATTTGTGTATAAATATATTATTTAAAAAAAATTAAGAATAGTGATATTCTGTATACTTTTATTAAAGAATTATATACCTAGCTGTTTTTTTTTTTTTTTTAATAAGCAATAAACAATCCGTATCATTTGTTACAATAAGAATATAGACTAAAAGTAACAAATATGTCAATTTAACATTATTTTGATAAAAGGAGTAATTCATTGATGACACTTCCCAGAGTTTCTTAGTTATTATAAATTTATAATATTTATACTATTTTATAAGTACTTTTTTTATTTTATAACAAATTATGACACCATTTGTGCTTTAGGCATTTTGGTAAATTGTTAGATATAATAGAAGAAGTCAAATTTTTAATAAGAAGATTCGGATACATGCTTAGATGGCTGTGTACTCTTTTATAGAAACATTTAGATTTATCACTTATTGTTTTTTGTTGTAGGTCTGTATGAAGAGAAAAAATTGAGACTTAAGAAAGTACATTTATTAATTTTTAACTTATTTAACTTTTAGCTGTATTTTTGAAAACAAAATATAATTGCTCATTATTAGAACCCGGAACTTGATGCATTTGTATCCTATTTTCTAATGCATTTATACGAGATTTTTTCTTACAGAAATGTGTCTTATATTATTAAAATATTTTTATTTGGCATTTTTTTGGTTATACAGTCATTTTTTACTGATTTTGATACATTATTTACATTTTTTACATTTTTATTTTATATTATTTTTACAAAGCTAAATATTTGAAAAAACTAACGTATTGTACAGCCCAGTCCTTCAATTATTAGTATAAAAATACTGATTTATTTTTCGTAATTATTTTGTATTAGTGACATTATTTATTATCTCAGTTTCAAATTTAATTTAGGCCCTGTGTCTGTATAAAAATATTAGCATTTTTTAAATTCAAATGAATAAAATAATAAATAAATGATCAAAAATATTAATTTAAAAATTATGATTTTTGATGATTTATTATTAAAAAAAACGTAATTTTTTAAAATGTTATGTTATCTTTTGGTATTTTTAAGGTAATTTTTTGATGTTTATAAGTAATTTTAATACTTTTTTTGAGTGCAATTTTTTAAATATTTTTAGGTTATCAAGTTCTGGGCCTTACTCATTATCAAATATATTGTAGTTACTAAACTATATTCAGATTTATGTTAAAATGACTGCAAATGGATTATCTCACGGCCCTTCAAGTTAATACTATACATTTATTTAGAGTTGAAAATCATCAGTTATCAGTGGTAGTTATTGATAATCAGTGTCGATACTCTTACTATGTGTACAAAGAATCATAAATCACAGCAAGGCTGTTAAGTGTTTAGGTTAAGACTCAACAAGTTTTAATCGGCCAAGTAAACAAGCGATTCAATCTTAAATTTAATAGAATATATTAGATTAAAATATTTTTATTTTGAGCATTTAAATTTTATTTTTAATGTTACAGTATAATAATAAGCCAAACTACAGATATAAAAAAGAAAGAATAAGCATTTTGTAGATATTTATGATTATATTTTAATATAAACAAAATAACTAACCAACAGGTTTCAAATCTGTTAATAAAAAATATTTGAATGTAATTATACCATGAATAATCAATAACTCAAACATAACTACTATCATGAGAAATTAATTGAGTGATTTTTTTTTTACAAACATAAAAGAAGAATAGGTGGATAAATTATGTGTTGAAGAGTAAAACCTTGAGAGCAAACCCTGTTTTCAGATTTTAATGAGTATTAAAAATGTAGAAATGTAATTTTATTTGATGGGTTTAAGTTATAAATAATTTATACTTTAAGTAAATTTTGCGTTATGATGTGACTGAGTAAATATGAGAGTGTTCAGTATTCAATTTAATTTATTTAAGTATGTATAATTTGTATAACTAATGGTTATTTTCTTAGGACTATTTTTAGTAGTATAACACTTATACAAATCACTTACACATCTGAAATGTCAAAATCATACCACAAATTACAATAAAATAATCATGTTATTCATAAATACAACTATAGAATTACTATAATTATAAATTATATATGAAATATAAATACTTACTTGCATTTACATAAAATATTGGTGTTGTAATAAAGTATGAAGTCTTTTTAGTTATATCTTTGAAACTAGTACTTATTCGTGACATAATTACGGTTTTCGTAATATTCGTAATAATGTCTAACTAAAAGTATAATAATTGAGTGATTCTATATTTCTTGTAATTTAAATTTATGAAAACATTATTATAGTTTAATATTCGTTTAATATCTATGTATTTTATTTTACCGGCTGTTATCACTTATCAATTTAACATAAAAATTGATAAAAATGATAACACAAATTACCATCTCAACGAAACGAGGATAAAACGTGAAACATGAAACGAAGTACGAACGACATCTCAATTCTCAATCATCTTATATTTTCATGATTCACGTTGTCACATTCGTGATTAAGTACTTAATTCAAAATTGTATTAAAGTAAATGTAATTTAAAAACTTATTACTAGTTCTAATATTAAAAATAAATAGATTTAATTTTGATGATTATAGTTAAAAAATGGACTACAAAGAAGAGCAACAGAATGAAATTGATGCATTGGAGTCCATATACTGTGGTGAAATGACAAGTAAGTATAGATTTATGAAAAAACAGAAATTTATTATTCATAAATTCTGTAATATTTTATAAATTATAAATAATACCCAAATTTGTTTTTAAGTTACTAGTACAGAACCTTATTATCAATTTGAAATCCCAATTAAATCTGACGAGTTTGATAGTGTTCAGCATGATATTGGCCTATCATGTTGTTTAAAATTTGAATATGTAGAAAAATATCCTGATGATCCACCTATTGTAGAAATTGAAGATGTTGTTGGGTTTGAAGAACAAGAAGATGAGTTAAAAGAGTATTTAATACAACAAGTAATAATAAATATAGCTTAATTACATGAATAAAATGTTATTTATAAATTATTTTTAAGGCTCAGGATAATGTTGGAATGGTGATGATATTTACTTTGGTGTCAGCAGCACAAGAATGGATGAATAACTATTCAGATAGTGAAAAACAAAGAAAAATAGACGATGATGATAAAAGACGCGAAAAAGAAATGGAAGCTGAATTAGTTAGTATAGACTTATTTAATATTATGGAACACTATATTCTATAATTACTTTAATGATTTTGAAAAGTATATGTGTTGAATACATTTCTTTTCTTTTAGAAACGTTTTGAAGGTACCAAAGTTACAGTTGAATCATTTTTACGATGGAAGTTTAACTTTGAAGAAGATATGGGAGTTTTAAAGAAGCGAAATGAAGAGGAAAAAAATAAGAAACTTACTGGGCGTGAATTATTTATGACTGATAAATCACTGAATGAATCAGACTTAAAATTCTTAGAAGAAGGTTGGTTTATTATTAAAAAGCTTAAATATATTTTTTTAAATTTTTATAAAGAAATATTTAATCTAGATTAAATCATAATAAAATTATGTGCTACAAGGTTGCTAAAATAAAAAAAAATATGAGAGAAATATTCACCCAGTGATAGCTATATACTTTTTGTTGTTTTTGTATGTTTTATTTTATTTGTTATTTATTCATTAAGATACACCAATTCCTTTTCAATTATTGCTGGAGATTTTTAGGAATTTAACTTATGGCTATAGCAGTTTGGAAATTGGATTAGGAAGAGAGTATATTATAAAATAGTTTATCGTAAGCTTTTGCTTCATTGTGAATAGTTTTAATTTTTTAAGCCAGTATTTAAAGAAAAATTAGAAATATATTTTTCAGAAAATTTATGATACAAGATTTTATTTAGATTAGATTTTTTGATATTATTTTAGAGTTGGAAACCATAATCTACATTGACTTAATTAAGAATTTATAAACAAGTAGTTTGATATTTAATTTAGTTTGTTTAATGGATATTAATGTTTTAAACACATTTAAGGCAAGTTATTTTTTATGTAATGAAGACGGTTAATGATTATGCCTAATTACTTAACTGATAATGAAAAATAAATTAGGATGTTTTTTTAGAACATGGAATAAGGCGAAGAGTGAGATTAGTATGTTAAGATTTTGTTTAATTTATTTATCTACCAGTTAAACATTATGTGAAGGTGATTTTTGAAATTTAGAGAAATAATACATAAGTATTTATGTATGGCTGTAACTTATTATTTACAAAATCAGCTACTGGTGTGTTTGTAGAGGTAGGTTGATAAACAGCATATGTATTATGTAGGATAGGTTAAAAAATGTCACCTGTATGATACTCCTACACTAATATATACAATGTTTGAAAATGAAAACTCAAACCTGATTTGAAAGTGATGGTTGTTAAGGTATGATTTAATCAACAAATAGTATATTAGGAGAAAAAAAAGATTTTTTATGAAGTGGCTTCTCATGTCAAACTCTTTAAAATGTTTATGATTTATCTAGGAGTATTTGACATCAACTAATCTATAAAGTTATTTTATAATGGGAGGTCTTAAAACTAAATTGAGTATTAGCCATTAGGTAGGATAATACTGAAGTAAATGCATGGCAGGATTTATTTAAGATTAGTTTTCAAAGATTTTGGCAAAGAAGGGTAAGAAACTTCAATATTGATAGTAGTAAGGTTTATCACGAGGCTTTTAGATTTTGTGAATAATATAATTGCTAAAAATGTCTAAAATAATGGAAAGTATACCGATCTTGAAGCGGAGTAGCATTAAATAAAACTGTTAGTATAGTGATTATTTTTTTTGGCAGACATGTGACTACTTCTATAGTGATTTTGTAATCTGTGTTATCTCTGAAAACTTCTCCTGAAGTTAAGTAAAAAAAAAAAGTAAAGTAAACAAATTTTTCTGGTTGGTATTTAAGATAAATACTAAAAAAATTTGTAATATTAATTGAATCATTTTAAATTATTAATATTTATTATGTTATTAAGTTTTATGTCTAACCAAAGCCAAAAGTATCTTAATATTCATTGATGTTTTGTTTATTATCAAAAATTGAAATGACTTATTTATTTTTTTAGGAGATTCGGTGAAAGTTGATGAATCATTATTTGAAGAAATAGATGATCTGGATATTGGTGATGATGGAAGTTCTGATGAAAGTTGAACATTTTTTTTTTAAGAATTATGTGCAAAACTCAAATTGTAAATATAAAATTCTTTTAAAAAAACTTTTATAAAATGTTATGAAGTATATTATTATTATTATGTATTAATTGTTTCATGTATTACTTGAATCATATATCAATTAATAAATAATATGTTTTATTTTTATAACATGAAATAAATAACTTATTAATCTAGAAGCAATTACCTACCTAATTATCTAATTAAGTTCAATAGAATACTTGTTTTTCAAATTATGATTATGATATTTAAAGTTGATTTGATGTTGATGGATGGTACCTAGCTCTCTTTTTCTTTTATTATTTTATTCATGGCCCAGGTTGATTTTGATGTTGACAAACATAGTAAACTATTTAAGTGTCCATCACTCAAACAATTTCTATATTTATTTTCAATAAATGTTAATTTACTAAAAGCTGATTTGCACAAATATGTTGATACAAAAAGTTAAAATTGCTCTTATACTTGTTAAAATGGAAGAATACTGATTTTCAATTAGTGTATTCCAAAATTTTATAGTTAAAAATATCCCTTGTGTTAATCAAAGGAGTATTATCTTCTGTTTCTATTAATATTTGCTTTTCAACAAACCAATATCACAATTAAAAATATTAATTTCAGATATATTATAACAGTATAAGTGTATTTTCAAAGTTGCTAAAGTTCCTACCTAAGTCATAATTATATTGAATAATTGTAAAATCACAATAATAAACACTAGGTTTATGTTTCAATGCTTGTATACTTGTATCATAGAATAAATGAAATAAATATCCAATAGCGTATTTTTGGGTGTTTTTACTTGTAAAAATCGAAAATCACTTAATTTGAGGTAGTAGGATGTTGAAATTTGCGTTTGAGTTAACCAAATATGATGTAAACGGTGTCGCTCTACATTATTATGTAATGAAAAATATGATTTTCCAAATTCTAACAACCGTAGGTCCTAAAAACCGTTTTGAAAACACTTTCACTTCATGCGATATCTGGGGAATAAAAATTTATCAATTTTCATATCCATCA